GCATCCGGGGCGCAAACGTGCTGCTGTATTTTCACGTGCAAGCACTACTTGCAACACAATGCAATACGATTCTCCGGTGCAGTACATTTGCAGTACAACTGCCCCGAATCAATTGCACCACCCCCTTTCAGCTGGACTTATGATGTTCCAACCTACTTGAGCCTTGATTCGATCACCAGAAAGAATTTCGAGCACCAGAAAAGTACCCCCAAACTCGAGGGTTTTCACGTGTCGGGCCCTGGGAGACACCCGTCCGACACTGTTTCGACACTCTTTCGACACTCTTTCGACACCCTTCCAGGTGCTCGACATTATTTCTGGGATGTGGTCCTGAAGTACGATGGGAGCAACATAAAGCTGGACCCCCCTGTGTCGGGTATAGCCAGGACCCCGGGTAAGGGGACCGGGTTAGTGGTAGGGCCCTGGGGCCCCTCAGTGGGCCAGAATCACTAAACCAGGTTTGCCGCAACTGGTGTTTTTCGGGTGACGGCAGTTCCGGTTGGTGGAGATGGGACGGGGGGGGCGCCCCCGGCACAAATCACTAAACCGGGTTCCACTGAGCCTTGTTCTGCCAAGGCGATGGTGGCCATGGACCCCCCTCGTCCCGCGGGCCCGCCGCGGGGTCCAGGGTGGGGCGCAGCACCACCTCCTCGGGCACCGCAGCAGGGGCCGCCGGCTCAGCGCCCCCCCCCCCTGTGCCCAGGGCCGCTCTCCCCCCGCCCGTCGGGCCTGTCCCTCTACAGGAGGAGCGCTAAAAAATAGCCAAAAAAATAGGCAGGGGACGATTTTCTGGTATTTGTATATATATATATATATATACACACACACACCAAAATCCGCCTGTAGGGGGACACGCCCGACCTAACCGTAGGCCAAGGCAGCCCCAAAACGGTCCAAGCGAGCCCCGCGATAGTTCTTCACGTCGCGAAGACGAATGGTGCCACTCGTGACGGCCTTCCTCTTCCTCCTCCTCATCCTGCTCCTCCACCATCGAATAGCAGGGGCTCCATGAGCTGGTTTCGGTTTGCGTCTCCCCCTCCTAATCCTCACCAGCTGAATAAAGGAAGGAGAGGGGGAGAAGTGGTCGATGATTGGGCGGCGTGGAGGAGGAGGAGGGGAGGCGCGGATTTCTAGCATCGCATCGGAAACATTGCCCCAGAAGGGCCTGCGCCGCCCGTCGCGGGATGGGTGCTGGTGCGCGGGCAGCGCCAGGGCGCGGAGACGCGGGCTGTTCTTGGGGGTCCCCCATGCTGCCTCGACGCTGCGCCGCTGCCCTTCTCCGCGAGGCTGCTGTCTTCGGGGTCCTCTCTTGCTTCGGGAGGGCTGTCCCGCGGCGGGGCTGCGGCCGCGCGAGCGCCCTGCCACTCCCAGCTTTTCTTTTTTTGTTGGGGGTCCCTTCGACGCGCGCTCGCCTGGGCCCCCCTCGCTGGGGGATCTGAGCCACCCCATTAATTACCCAGCTGAGGTGTCTTCGCCTGGTTTGGTAGAGGTGATGCAAAGATGCGATGTGACCCAACGGCGTGAGATATAACGGGTCGTCGCGCCATATCGCCTGTATTGACGTAGCATGCGGCCATTCATGGTCACATGTGTGGATGTAGTTGGTCGTACACATGTTTAGTGCACTGTGCGTGTGCGTGGCGTATGGTGTATTATCATGCGATACTTATCACACTTTGAAGTGTAGTCCGACATGGGCAACACGCGTACATATAGCACAGTGGTGTATGCCACGTGGCGCACGGCATGTCAAACGAACGCATGTTCATCCATCATATGTAAACGCAGCGTGTTGCACCACGAGGGGTCGGTATACTGCGGGTCCTCGAGATCGTAAACAACAGTGGAACGCGCCTGCAGTGAGCTATGTGGTGTTAGGTTTGTGGTGCCAGCGATGTGGAACAACTGTGTAGTGCCGTGTTTAGCGCACGTCGCGCCCACGAGGCGACCACCTGCCGAGACTTCGGCGCACCCACCCAGCGCACGGGGCGCCCACGAGGCGCCTGCGGGCGGGCTGGCGAAACCTCGGCGGACCCACCTAACACGAGGTGCTCGCGGGGGCGCCCACCAGACGGGCACCAGCCGTAAACCCGGCGCAAGCATCGGTCGGGGAGCAACATCACGGTGTACCGTCGTCTCCTTTCTGCTGTACCCCTCTCCCTTCCTCGCGTGCTCTTCCCGCCTCCCTCCCCGACAGCAGTTGGCAAATTTGTGGAGCATGCCTTCGGCCCATCCCGCCACCGTGCCTGGGTTGTGCGTCGGAGTTATCAGGGGTTCTTCTTCGGGTCTCTTCGGGGCGCTCTTGGGGGCCTCTTGCGTTGGGGCCTCTTGGGGGCCTCTTGGGGCCCTCTGGGGGGCCTGCTAGGGGCTTCTTGGGGCCCCCTGACCTTGCCATTCCAGTACAGCGACCAGGCGCATCCCGGCAGCAACCCCGGGAAGTTCCCCGCGCTGTTGTTGTTGTTGTTGTTGTTGTTGTTGTTGTTGTTGTTGTTGTTGTTGT